GGCTGCCGGTAAGGGTGAGGACAGTGCGGGCCTCGAGCAGGAGGGAATATTCGATTTGACCGGCGGCGCATTTTCACTACTCAGAAATGGCCTGCCGATCAGGGGTACCATTTCACCATCAACAAAAGTCATGTTTGCATATTCATGAATGTTGGAAATATAGCTAGGCACCGTTGTTCGGGTGACGCTGGTAAATTCATTAAGTCGGTCAAGGGAGCCTGTATGTGGGTGAAAAATAAAGGATGGTAATTAAATTCACATATATAAATTTGCGTGAATCGGAAGCAAGGCAGTCCAAGAAATATAATTCGAAGAAAAAAACAGGAAAAATCGTTGGGTAAGTCCTAGACATTAATTTCCAGTTCGTCGTTAAACTTGAGTCAATAAAAGCGAAATTGCAGTAAACGTTTCAAACGTGCCTAATCAATCGATACTCGTTTGAGGTGCCCATTTGTCCAAAGTAGCCATGCACACCCTTCATCCAGGGCAAAAAGTCGCCTGGGACAACAGTCGCAACGTCGGAGTCTGCCGCTCCGAAAACATCGACAGTTTCTTGAGGCCATACACTCCGATAAACCATACTTCAATTTGCACATGTACAAAACTCCCAGAAAAAAGTGAAATAGACAAGGGCCAATCAGTACAGACTGATGCACCCTGCAGCCGTTCATTGATGCAAACACTAAACAAGTATCGATTGCTTAGATGCGTTTGAAATGCTAGACGTTTTTTGCACATCTTCTAAAGTCTGACGACGACTGGACGAACCAGCATCGATAATTTACCTAATAAATATGCCATTTTTTTTCAAAAAAACCTTTTTTCCTTCAGATATATATATGTGTTTAGGATAAATAGTGTCCATGAGGAGGAACGGAGGACCTTGACGAGCTTGTCATACATCCCAATCTGCCGCTAACTCACATCAGCTGTCACCTATCGTGCCTCAAAGCCAGCCGTACAGTGAAATTTATGAAGTGCACTCTCCGTGCATAACAAAGTTCTATGATATGCCCAGTCCAGTAATTGAAAATAAACCAGCTAAATGGTGATAGACGAAGTCTACCGTTTTATATTTAGTCAACCATTACTCCCGAATATCCATTTCCGATCCAACCTCCCAGGAGCATCCTAGGGAAGAGGATAAATCACGTAGGTGTCTCACAATAGGACGGCCCGCGGGAAAAGCGGACAGCTCTGTGATTTCAATATACTAGTAGACACAAATCATACCTACTGACGGATCGGTTTGGTCGTAACGGAGTAAACCGCTCTAATGGCATCAGACTCCTACTGAAGACCTGCATCGAAAACTAATTCCTTGTCATCAACGCTATCTTTTGAAATATGAAAAAATCATAACTGCATATGCAATCTCATCAAAAAATATTCTTAGTTTTAGCCCAAACCACCCATTTATAGTCTGTGGGTAAATCACACATAAATCTCCTCGAATTTCATCAATCACTGAATTAGATCAGCCGCCCTGTGTGTAGAAAACAATCAGAAGAGCACAACAGGTTTTCATTGGATAATCACCCATAGCTGTTCGATGCTAGCCGAAAGTTACAACGATAACTGAACGATCTTCAACCGAAGGACACACTTGCCTCACTGTTCCAGAAGATGTAGCTACAAAAAGAAGTCCTGCGAGATTTTAAGGATACGACCTCCTTTAAAGATCGAAGGAAACTGACAGATTCATGAAGCTCAGGGATCGACCTCCGTCGTCAATGCTGCTTGCAAAATGCTTGCCCGAGCATTATTTAATCGGTAAAATCTGTACCTGAAGCCAGGTTATCTTAGCAAGGGACTGGTTAGTTCGGTTACTTAACCCTGCAGCTTTGGTTGATAAGTGCAGAGAAGTCAGAACTGACCACTGCAGTCCTCTTTTTCTGCGTCAGTAATGCGTTTCTCCGATTGATCGTGCCTCCTTTGATGTACATTACGTTCGCATAAATGGGAAGTCAGGCATCCCAAGATCACAGTCGATCACTACGGACTAACGTGAACCGCGACTACTAATTAGCGCTCCCACCGGATGACGTGGACTGACCCCAGAGTGACGCAAATTACAGTTGCGAATTAGCCATTACGCTATTGCGACTACTAATTTGGTTCACCATGGCCTGACGCAAATTGCAGCTGCCAATTAGCGTCCACACTAGATGACCATATAACTGTACAAGCACTTTTGAAATTTTAAGTGTTCGTTGCAAATCTTTTCAAGTCCGACGAAGACCTGGGGATCCAATATCGAAACTCTACTGAATAAAGTTACCTTATCTTCCCAAAGAACAGCTTTCCTTGAAAAAGTGCAATCCTTTTTTTTCTAAACTAGAGTGCTTGGACTCAAGCTAACGCATGTAGCTCTCATGCGAGCAAACTAGATTATAAAAAGCCCCCTATTTCAGAAATGAATAATTGCTTCCTATTCTTCCTAGTACATTCATGTACCATCTAGATACTGTAGATACCGATGGATACTGTAGTAGGCCTAAATATTAGTCTATAGACGGCCCAAACATGTACTTACTCGGAATAGTTGAAACCAAGATTCACACTCCTTGTTGAGGGCGTATGAGCCCTAGCGTTGGCTTAATTGGCGTCACCTCCGACAAATAGTAGCGCCAGTGCTAGCACCGGTACTACCACACCTCCTGTTGAGATTGAGAGGATGTTAGCCCAGCCCTGACTTTAATCAGTGTCACTTCTGGCTTAAAATAGAGTCAGTAATAGTAACAGCAGATACTATCACTCAGCTACACCCTAGTTAGTAGTATTAGAAATAGCAGTAGTAGTAGTGGCAGTACCAGCCCTGGCTTCCAAGAGTCTGGCTAGATTCCTTCTATAGGCGGATGAGGTTAGACG